TAGAAAAGTTGTCCAGGATGCTTTTAAATGATGTGTCCATCATCATTTCTCTAGATTTCCAACTGTTCTATCATTTCTATGATTTAGGGGGTTGGGAAAAATTAATCTAAAACCTGCCATCTTGGGGTTAGACAGAGCCTGGACCTACGGTGCCCTCCGCCACTAGACCCCGTCACGTCGCGCCTTTGAAAGGGAGGCATAGCTCGGGGCCTGGGAAGAAACCATCCCAAAATGGCTTGATTTCATGGGAAAATCCCGATGTTTCCGGTGAAGATGTTCCCGCCCATTGTCAAGTCAGCCGGGCTTACCAAATGAAAAATCCACTGACCAGGAATCATACCCACGGCTACCGTTGAAATATAGTGAAGCCCTTCACGGATAATTATCCTAGGGCCTCGGGATTGTTGTGATCCAGCGCTTCAAAAAACACCCCCTGCATTCGCGTTGATTTGAAAATTGCGCTGATCCAGCGCTTCATATTGTTTCAACAACATGCTTCGGAACATAAGGGAAGACTTTAGGCCATAGTTAGAACCGGCTTGATACAATATATTCATATATATATATATTCAATATACATATATATATATAGTCGATGCTTAGTAAAAAAAACACATGTAATAGATATATATATATTATACACACACACGTACATACAATTGCATCACCCAAAGAGGTCCTACCCCTGGCTACAGCGCGCCAAGCAGCTCTTGGTCGGGTTGAAACAGGGCGTGCGGCAGCTTCCAGTGGTGAGATCTGAAGCCACATAATAACTGGGACAGTTGTAGGCTTGGTCCTGGGATATGGATGGTGACCAGCGGAGTGTAACTCTGGGAAATCACTGAAATGCCAGGGTTGGAACATAGAACAGCACATGGGCTATCATGGGCTCCAAGCCATCAATGTCGAAGATGACGCTTTCACAGACGAAGTACAACGACCCATAACATCCAGTTTTCTTTCCGAGAGGGCGCCTATCACTGCGTGATGGGCGCATTCCAGACTAGCAAAGGTATCACAGCTACAGGATAGTGGGTCTTCACAACATACACACCTGGAAGGTTGCTGGACAATCCCCAGTGTTTTTCAGGGACAATTATCTATAAAATTCTATGGATATCTTCCTCAATTCCTGCCCGCTAGGTTGGATTACCAGTGTCCAATCCAGGTCTAAAACCTCTTGGAACCTCACAGAATCCTCGCTAGAATACCTTGAGCCGTCCTGTTTGGCTTTGCCAATACGCTTAGGAGGAAATGATCCACAATCACTAGTAACAATCATCCCAGCAACCCCCAGCAACCCATCCATTCCCTACGTTTAGCGGAAGCTCGTGTCCGAGAAATCTCTAGATCTGCCAAGTGGCTCCCAATTTGATGACATTTTTGCAATCATTGCCGTCCACCCGCTGCGCACCTCAGCGAAAACTCTCTTGGTCAAGTGAGGAGCAAAAATCGGAGATCCAAGCCTTCCAATTCTTGGGAAAATCTACCTATAAATGGAGGTTTTAGTGGGAAAATCGGCCTAGAAAATTCCAGAAATGGTTTCACAAGGATCTCCCTTGAGGTCGCTATTTATGAGCTGGATACATCTAGATACCAAGATTTATTGCGTTTTGAATGGGAAAAATGATGACCTGGGATTGTCAAAAAATGGTGTAACTCTGAAATTTCATACCCAATGGAATGCTCATTTCCCCAAATAACAATTGTCTACATGCATGTGGTTCTCAAAGGGTTCTATCCCACCAGCTGGCCACTCCTCCCTGCATATGTCATGGCACCCACGCGCCAAGGGTCTGCAGGCTTGAAGCCCCTGGGTGGCAGCAAGCGAGGCCCGACTCTGAAATCACAAGAGATAAGCCTCACCAAGGGACTGATATTACTGAGGTCAAAGTTCTATTCTGGTAATGATAAGCAAACTAATGATCACCATCGCAAATCTATCCGAGCTCAAAGACAGTTCAATTTACCTCGACCCAAATCGACCACAACCAACGGATCTGCGGGTTTCAGTACCCAAAGCGGTCGGATCCGTCGGATCTGTGGCCAACAAGAATGAACTCCGTCATCTATTGTTTTGTGGTTCCAATCCACCATGGCCACCATGGCCACCATGGCTCCCTCAGTTTCGAAAGTTTCAACTCCACATTCTCGGGGGGTCCCAAGCAGAAAAAACCCGCAGGAGGAAAAAAACATAGCGGAATTCCCGCATGTTGCGGTTGTGACGATGTCCCATTGACAGGTTTAATCACCCTGCCCTTAGTGCAGTAAATCTAAGAATAACCCAAGTTTGCCGAGTTTAGGCTAGAGTCTAGAGATTAAATCATGTTGGGGTTCAAAGAAGTTGTAAGTCATAATTCATCATCTCTGATAGCCATGTTATGATTGGGACATACTCCGGTTTCTGGTTGGGTGTACCACAATATAGAGTGACCTCTCACCAAATAACGCTCCGCCAAGTCTCTCTTCCAGGCCTTATATGTCCAGCACTTGTAGTTGGTCGCTACAGGTCAATGCATGAATCATTCATGCTTCAATTTTTGTACACCATATCTGAATGCAAGTAAACTTGCGCACATATATGCGGATATGAACCCTCTGGTTATTTAACATAGCCATGGAAAATGACCCATTTATAGATGGTTTACCTATAAAAAATGATGGATCTTTCCCTGGCTATGTTAGTCATAACCAAATGGTAAACGATAAGTTGATGATCAATGGA